TTTCCTGTGTCATTAAAGTGGGCTTAACAGTGTGAAGTAAAACCCTTTCAGTTACATGGCCCACTTAAGGCAAAATAAGAAATCATCGTTCCAGTATAGAGGCCAACCTTGTGTGAGTTTATCTACTATGTATTAGGCTCCATGCTAAAGCTTTTACATGTTAAAGCTCACTCAATCCAAAATAACCCAGGGAGACTGATACACAGCAAAACCTGCAAAAGCCGGACCTGTGTAAGGCGGAAACCCGTCAGAGAAGGAAAACACAAACATTTTCCACCAACAGCAACAGGAAAGTGGTAAGCTGCACCCTATCAAAGGCGGAAAACTTGCAAGACCTGGAAAAACAAGGAGTTACGGCTCTCACAGGTGTCACTGTAACTGCCTCACCTGACAAAGGAAAGGAAGGAAGGAGGCACTCTAGGTAAAAGGTACACATGACTAATGAGAAGGAAGTCGAATTGAACAGGACATGTTCCAGAGACTGAAGAGACTAAGCTGAGTGGAGGGCAGGAAAGGGTAGAACTGTAAACACAGGCTACACAAACAGAGTAAGGACAAATAAGTCAGAATCCAGAGAGCCAGGCACAGGAGAGTGGCTGGTTATTTGCCATGTGGGGCTACCTGACAATGGAGTAACCTTATTTTGAGGGAATCCCAGCACAAGTGGCAGGCAGGACCCACCAACCACTACAGAGAGTAAAAGCGGGCAGATGGCTGCTTTGTGTGCAGTCTGGCATTCAGGGTGAGAGGAAATAACCATGGGTCAGCTCACTGCATGGCTGGGGCTTGAGGGACTAAAGCAATGACAAGGGAACAGCACGAATTAATTCCTGACTCCTGTAGGGGACTAGAGTCCAGCAGTGGAGCAGTGAGCAACCAGGGCCCCCAGTGGCAAATGACAGTGGTAACAGCAATGGCGCCAAAAGAGGCTGTGCAGGATCTCAGCTGTGCCACGACTCTGAGTTCTAACTATTTTCTCAGCTAGTTCTCTAGCCTTCCTTCCCCAAAATTCCACATACTATTCAAAACCCTTTTCATAAATTCCTTTACTGTTTAAGTTAGCCAGAGTTGGTTATTGTTGAACTGATATAAGGAGCTGTGACTAGTTTCAGCAGGCATTAGAAAACAGGTAGCTTACATCCATGGGCAGCAGAATGACAGGAAGAAAGCCAAAGTCAGGAAGCAATATGCAAAAAGGACTGGAGAGCCTTTCATCAGGGAGGTAGGAAGGAATTCAAACAGGATTTGAAAAGAAGAGGACAAAGATCTTTATTAGGGGAATAGCAAAAAACAAAAGTGACTCTGTGGGACCTCTGGAAGAAAGAACGAACAAGATATAGTGACGAGTCATACAGAGAAGGTTGGGGCTAAGGTAGAGGTATTTAAAGATCAGATACAATTTTCAATATTATGAAAACATCTTCCCGTAGATAGATGTTAGAAATCCCAGAGCTTTAGGTTCCAGGAGACTGGGTCGTTCTCAGTATCAGGTAGTGGGCTACCTTAAAAAGCAGATGATACATTAAAACAAAAAAACCAAACCCCTAGCTGTGAAGTCGATTTCGACTCATTGTGACCCTACAGTACAGAGTAGAACCGCCCCATAGGGTTTCCAAAGCTCTAATCCTTACACAAGCAGACTGCCGTATCTTTCTCCCATGGAGCGGCCGGTGGGTTTGAACCACTGACCTTTTGATTAGTGGCTGGGTGCTTAACCGCTGGGCCAGCAGGGCTCCTAGATGATACATCAGGGAACCTGTATTTTAACATTCTGGAAAATGTATCTGTGGTACCAGTAATTACTACGCTGTTACTCTATACAACACTCTTAGAATTTAAAGTCAAGGAAACTTTGTCCCTCCTGGCAAACCACTGTACTTTCAGTCTCCTTTCACAATGAGACTATATAACACATTACATTTTCCTTTTTGCTTCATCTACCGGGAGCTCCAAGTCCTCCTTATCCTGAAAGGAGCACTAATTCTTATTTACCAAGGCCTCATTCCACAGGAGATACGCCAGATGCTTTACATACACTATCAGTGACTCCTAGAACTCTGCAAAGAGGTGAGACGATATGCAACGTACGGCAGAGAAAGCAAGCAAGTCACTTGACCAAACTGACATAGCTAGTAAGTAGCAGAGCCAGGAAAAGAACCCATGTCAGTCTAACTCTGAAAACTAGCTTTCTAGTATAATTTAGGGAGTATCGGGGTGGTACAAACAGTTAATGCGCTCGACTGCTAAGCAAAAGATTAGAGGTTGTGAGTCCACCCTGAGGCCCCTGGGAAGGAAGGCCTGGTGATCTACATCTGAAAATTAGCCACTGAAAATCCTGCAGAGCTCAGTTCTACTCTGATACACATGGGGTCGCCATGAGTCAGAGTCAACTCGATGACAATTGGTTTTGTATAATTTAGCTCTTAACCTCTGTAAATTTCTTAACCTTTTAAGTTTCATGTTTAACTTAATGCTTCTACTTATTTCACTCCAAAAACTTTTTATTTTTTTTAAATAAAACATCCAGTTATTCACTCAGTCAATATTTACTGAGTTCCTAGTCTGTGGAGAAGCAATAACAGTGCAGGGGTTAAGAACACAGATCTGGAGTCAGAATGCCTGAAGTCAAATCCCAGCTCTTCTCCTTACTAGTTTGTGACCTGGGAAAGTTACTTAACTTCTTCAGTTTTCTCATCCATAAAACAGGAATAATTATAGTATTTACCTCATGGAGTTGTGAGAATTAATTAGCTAACACACAGAGAGTTCTCAGAACAGCGCCGGGCACATAGCAAGCCTCTGTGAGTGTATTTACCTCATGGAGTTGTGAGAATCAATTAGCTAACACACAGAGAGTTCTCAGAACAGCGCCAGGCACACAGCAAGCCTCTGTGAGTGTCAGTTGCTGCTATCACCACAGGGATACAGAGGGGGAAACAGAGAACAAGTCCCTATTCTCACTGAGCTTATACTCTAACGATCCGTTGTAACCCACTGCCATCAATTCCAACTCATAGGGACCTTACAGGACAGAGGAGAATTGCCCCATAGGGTTTCCAAGAAGCGGCTGGTAGATTCGAACTGCCGACCTTTTGGTTAGCAGCCATAGCCTTAGTTTAAGATGCCCTAAAACTATTTTGAAAGCATTAAAAATAAACAAGAAATTACCAAATGCAGCTTTCACAATTAGAAATGTCCATGGCCAATGCTTTTTAATTTCTGTCCTAAGAGCAAGATTTACTACGCCAGAGAGAATTTTGTTTTGTTCCCTACAGAAAAAACGGAAAAGGGACACTAAACTGCCTCCTCCAATGCTACAATCAGGTAACACTACCCTAATTTGTGTACATTATATCGCCAGTAACCCCTTATAGAGACATCTGCTTCTCTGTTTTCTAAAAGCCCTTAAAAAAGACCATAGGCCAATCTGCCCTAAACCATATATGGTCACCTTCATACCTGTATCCTCTGGGCAATGGTCTTGAGATCTATAGGTTCCTTAATTATTGCATAATAGTCTGGATATTGCTGGAAGACAAAAACCCAGGCATGTGCAATAAGTGAAAGTATACAGCTAATGAGAAGACAAGCGAACGCACTGACAATCTGTTACTCATACAATCAGTTGAGCAGCTTGGTGAGATTCAAGGCTAGAAACACAGTACAGCATATTGTTATATATGAAACAAAAAGAATTTGACTTTAACAACCTTCATAAAATATCCAATAGCATGTTGTAGGAGTTTATACTTGGTACTTATCATTATACAACTAACACACTACAATCTAATGCTTTAAAAATCCTAAATTCACAGAAGCATACAATTTTTAATTTAAGGTCCCAAGACATCTATGCCTGGAAATGAAGCGGAAATGAAGCAGAGAAATGTTCTTCATGGGCTCATTATAAGCTTTTTAAGATTTTCCAGTTCAAATAACATAATTAAATCCTATTTCTTAAAATAATTCTTAAGGATCTAGAAGAAGTCAGGTAGTAAGATGTAAAAGCTTCATGTTTAACTTAATGCTTCTACTTATTTCAGTCAAAATAACTTTTTTGTTTTTTTTTAAATAAAACAGCGTTTAAATGAAATTACTTTATAGGAACGAAGCAAAATTATACCCAATTTCTGATTTCTTATCAACTATTAGCCCATCACAAGAAAAGAATTCAAGCATGTCAAGGGAATGTCCTTGAAGGATCTCACAATGCTAGAGTGCATTCTGTGCCTGAGGCTCTCCTATGGGTTTTATTCTTTGGAGGAAATAACTGAAGTGGACCAAAAGTCAAAAGTTGGTCTCCTTGGGGGACAGAGGTGTCAGGGGAGGTCAGACTGTGTTCTCCAGGCTCTTCTGACTTGTTCAAACCCTACTGGAAACTGAGCAGCAACAACGTAAGGCAGGAGGCCACAGCCTTCACTCAGGCTGAGGGGATGATCTCAACGACGCCGCATCTCATCTGATCCCTCAGCTTTCCCCTCTCTATCTTCCTCACCCTAATCCTTCCTTTGCTTGGATCAAACACCTTTCCTGCCCCTTCTGCTCTGGACCAATTCTACCACTGAGAAACAGTTCAGAAGACAAATTGTGGTAAGGTTACCCAGCTTAGGGTACAGAGTAATCCAAGCTATTGGTCCTCATACTCCCAATCCCCTCTCCTGCTCAGCCAGCTACTGTCTGGGAAGGACTTAAAAGATAGAAACTGCCCTCTCCCTCCAGGTCTCAGTCTTTGTGTCTGAGGGACCAATGGGAACCTGCCTTCCCCAACTACCTCCTGCTGCATGCTGTCCCACCCAGAAGGCCCTCCTGGCATGGAGGAACCAGATACGGAGGTTTAATGTGCCAAATCACCCTTTGTGGCATAATCACTACTGAGTAAGAGTAAGTCCTGAGTAAAGATTGTTCTCTGTTCTATAATTTTACATCATATGACCAACATAGTCATTATATATTTCTAATCAGACACATACCCAGGAGAGCTACAGTCATATGCTTTGTTTCTGATGTCATAACTGTCCTATAACTAATCAAGACATGCCTTTAAATAACTAGTTTGGTCAATGACTGTGGGGAAAGTAGCAAGCCACTCATCATTTAACAAGCACTTCTTGTGCACCTATTCCCTGCTGGGGCCCAATCACATGGCAGGGGACACAAAGGTAAATGTGGTGAGGTTCCTGTCCTTAAGAAATTCAGGGGCTAGGGAAGGAGGCAGACAGAAGAGTAAATGATCCCAACGAGGTGAAATGCTATAGTGGAGTACTTTAGAAAGTACAACTATGTCTAGAAATATAAGACTGCTGAAGCCACAGAAATGTTTGCAGTTCTCCTAGCTGAAGTGACTCAAACCTACAGCTATGTTACCTGCCTGTTGGGTGTGAAGCCGTAAGGGACCCTGATACTTTTAGAGGGTCTCACTTGTCCAGAAAACCTCTTCCTTATGGGAGCAGAAGAGTATCTAATTTGTCTCTCTCTCTTCCCCAACACTGGATCAAGAAGAACTAAGGGAGGAAGAACTCACTTCTCTTCCTCTCACCCTGTCCTCCAGCAAAGAGAGTTTATTGTCTTTCATAAATAAAAGATTCAGTATAGATGCTTACTTAATCATTTATGAATTACCAATCAAAAAAACAAAAACACAAATTTTAAAAAAAACCCACACCCTCCTGGCCAAGTAAATGAAGGAACATGTCCTTTGTGCATGCTGCTGAGGCCACGAATAGGATCTCTTGGCTGCCTCCCACACGTTCCTTTAACCTTCCTTTGTTTACTAAGAGCTAATAAAAACTGTGAAGTACTTAAAAAAATCAAACACTTTTCTTCACCTGTATTTAATCACATCACTTACCACTTTAGAAGGCAGCTTCTGAAAAAGTTCACTAATTAGATGTCCAGATGGATTTGTGGCTACAACTATGGCTTCAAGAAGCTGCTCTAAGATCTCCTTCAAGTAACTTGGAGATGACTTGGGGGGAGGGGGAGAGAAGGGAAGAGAAAAAAGTACTTGGTGAGAGAAATTAAAAAATAAATGCTGAATATTAAATAGCTCCTAAACTTCTGAAGTTAGTTCAATAATGAAAAAGCATCAGTCACAGAAAAGCCAAAGAAAGCATGCTGTAAGCAGAGGAAAAAACAACTGCAAAGTTCCAGAGGCAGGTACACACTTGGCACGTTTTAGGAATAGTGACCAGTTCAACTCACAAAAATACTCCCAACTAAGGTGTTTCACTGCCTCTCCAACTTTTAATCACAATACTGCCTACCATTACATGATGTCTCAATCTACTAATACTGGACTAGTCCTTGATAATATGAAGATTCTCTTTAAAAGTGAACCACAAATATGCATTAGTGTAAGAGGAATTCGTGAAAACCACCACAAATGGCACTCACTCTCCAGGCTGTCCCAGGATCCCTCGTAACTGGAGTGGGACACTCTAGCCGCATGCCTGCATACCCTTCCGGTTCCCAATACAACTATACAGGAAGCTCAGCTGCTCACAGCAGCCCTGAAAAAACCATAGGCAGGGAGGGGGCCTACCTGCCCACCTCCCAGACAGCCCACCCATCAGAGGTTCCAGCTGCACACTTACTCCATCAGTGACCGCCCCTTGATTGTCTTGCCCATCTTCTTCATCATCTTCATCATCTGCTTCTCCTTTCTGAACAAACTCATTTCTTGTTCGAAGGTACAAATCCCAGAGTTTGCAAGCAGCTTTATACTCAGGAGAATCTGGCTATACATTGGCAAAGAGAATAGGAAAAAAATATTACTTTAGTATTTTTATTGTGTATCAATTGTCACTACTTTTAAAGCATCCTGTTCTAGCAAAGACGTGTATTCTAAAACATAACTATGAAAACTCATTTACAAATTTAACAATCCTATGGCTGAAGGAAAGGAGCCCCGGTGGTAGAGCGGTTAAGGATTGGCTGCTAACTGAAAGGTCAGCAGTTCAAACCCACGAGATGCTCCAAAGGAGAAAAGATTGGCAATCTGCTCCTATACAGATTACCAGCCTAGGAAACCCTAGGGCCACTTCTACTCTGTCCTATAGGATCGCTAAGAGTTGTAATCGACTCAGTGGCACGCAACAACAATTAAAGGATACATGGGCCTCAATCCCCCTTCTGAGAAACTAAGTGTATGTTTTAAAGGCATTCTGAAATCAAATTATTCTACTTATTTATGCCCTATCTCGTTACAGAAAGACGTGAGGCAGAAAATAAACGTTTGCTAAATTAAGGCTAATTACTAATAAAATACTAAGAAAAACAATTTAAAGACTAAAAGTCTGAATCAGCTAATGATTGTTCTGATATTATTTCCATTTTTAAACTATTTAATACTTATGTGAAGATTTCTGTTCCTGAAGCATAGTGGGTATGAACTCTGACTAAACCTTTCCATTAAAAACAATGTTTGATGTAATGTTAAAAAAAAAATTTTTTTTTAAATGCCTCCATGGGTTGCCAGTAATGAGGAAGGAATGTTCATAAAGCAAAAATAAAGTAAAAGCGGAGGCCCTGATGAGCAAACAAAACCGTGAAGTCAACATTCACCTTGAGTGCATCTGCAAGACAAGATGAACCTAAGCTTTAGTTTCAAGGCTCCTCAAGGCTGTAATTGTTAGGGAATCCAACAATTCCCAAAATACATAAATAAAATAAAAGACATCCATATCTAGACATACCACAGTATAACTGTAAAACACAAAAGACAAGAAGAAGAAGATACTAAAGGTAGTCAGAAAGAAAAGACACGTATAACCTTCAAATGAGCTACGATTAGACTGACAGATGACTTCTCAACAGCCATAAAAAAAGAATAAAAAAGTAGTAAATTTGTGAGCAAAATTAAATCTCGATTGGATAAAACAATAGTATTGTTCTATGGAATTAAAAAGTTGTCCCAAGAGAACTAAAATACACAACATCCATAGCACAAATAAAGAAAAGGGTGATCAGAGTCAAATTATTCTAATGACTTTGTATTATTTGGAAGGAGGGTTAAGATGCTGATTAACTTTTCACTTTGATAAGTTAATTATGCATGTTAAAACTTCTTAGAGAAGAACTAAAAGATCTCAATAGCTCTTACAAGTTCCAAATTAGTAGAGAGAATAAGAGGGATTTAAAAAAAAAAAAAAAAAAAACCCGAAAGGAGGCAAAGAGAAAAACAGACCAAACAACATAAAAAACTGAGACCAGCAGAAAGTAAAAATTCAGATGGTAGGAATATATCCAAACATAACGGTAATTACTAAAACTGTAAAGAGATGACATGCTCCAGTTAAAAGGCAAAAATTACCAATTAGATAAATAGAAATTCGTGTATGTGTTGTTTACAGGAGATACATCAGCATTAAAAAGATACGAAAAGGTTGAAAGTAAAAGAATGGGGAAAAAAGTAGCTAAGATAAACACCAAAATAAAGCTGGTATGGCTATATTAATATCAGACTAAACAGACTTTAAAGCAGACAACATTACTAGCGATAAAGAGGAAGACTATACAACGCCAAAAAGGTTCAGTTTACTAGGACAATATAACCATTCAAATTGGTATGCTCCTATTTACATAGTCTCAAAATAGATACAGCAAAAATCAACAGATTTATAAGGAGAAATAGACAAACTTACCATCAGAGTGAGATTTTAAAATATCTCATTTAGTAAGTGGACAGTTCATGCAGGTTAAACCCAGTAAGAATATAAAAGATATTAGTAACACAATTAACAAGCTTGATCTAATGGACACATGTAGAGCATTGTACCCAACTAACGGCACTCTTGTTACATTTACAAAATTCAAAGCAGCGTTATTCATAACAGGCAAAAAGTGGAAACAACCCAGATGTCCATCAACTGGTGAACAGATAAATAAAAAGTAATATATCCAAAAAATGGAATATTATTCAGCCATAAAAAGGAACAAAGTATTGATTTTGCTCCAGTATGTACAAACCTCGAAAACATTATGCTCAGAGAAAGAAGCCAGACCCAAAAGGTCACATATTGTATGATTTCATTTGTACAGAATGTCCAGAATAGACAAATCCATAGAGAGAAAGTAGACTGTGGATGCCAGAGGCTGAGAAGAGGAGTAATGGCGAGTGCCTGATAATGGGTATGGGGTTTCTTTTTGGGGTGATTAAAATATCCTGGAATTAGATAGTGGTGATGGTTGTACAACTTTTTTAATATACTTTAAAAGACACTGAGCTGTACACTTTAAAAGGGTATGTGAATTACACACACATAGTAGTAACAATAGACTAAAAACACATTTGTAGAGTCTTTACGAAGAAACATTTAAAGCTTTACTATAAAATACATTAGAGAAGATTTAAATAAATGAAGACTTACCAAATTCACAGATCCAAAGTCAGTATCATAATTACATCAGTTCTCCCCAATATGATCTACAGAGTCAATTCCAGCAGTTTGTGTGTGTGTGTGTGCGTGTGGGTGTGCACGCACGTGTGCTTGCTGAACATAATGGTTCTAAAATGTGTAAGCGAAGGCAAAGGGCCAAGAATAGTCAAAATGCCTTCCTTACCAGATAAAAAATGATAAAGCCATAGCAATTAAGACAGAAATACAGTGGTCCAGTAATAGATAAACTAGCCAGTGGAAAAGAATAAAAGGCCCAGAAACAGATCCATGCACACCTGGAGACAATGACAGCACGGACACTGTGACGGAGGAGGGAAGGATGGCCAAGTCAACCTCCTGGGTACGTCTACAGAAAAAAAGAAAAACAAAAACACAGACCCCTACCTCACAGAAGACACAAAAATCAATCCAAGATGCACTAAAGACAGATGTAAACGACAAAACTATACAACTTTTAGAAGAAAATATGAGAGAATATCTTTATAAACTCTGAGCATGAGGGATTTCTGAAACAACACACAAAAAAGGATAATTCACAAAGTAAAACAGTGATAAATTTGACTACATATTAAAATTAAAAAAAGTTCATCAAAAGACACCAAGAAAAAAAAAAGTATGAAAAGACAATCACACAGTAGGAGAAGATATTTGCAACACACATAAGCAAGGGTTAGTATCTAGACCAAAACCCACTCCTGGCGAGTCGATATGGACTCATAGAGACCTTACAGGACAGAGCAGAACTGCCCCATAGGGTTTCTACGGAGCGGCTGGTAGATTCAAACTGCTTATCTTTTTGGTTAGCAGCTAAGCTCTTAACCACTGAGCCACCAGGACACCTTAGTATCTAGAATATATAAAAACTTCTAGAAATAAATAAAATGACAAACAACCCAAAAGAAAAATGGGCAAAAGATATGAACAGACACTTCACAGAAGGAATAAATAAGAACGGTTCGTATCACAAAAATGTTCAGCTTCTTTACTAACAAGAGAAATGCAAACTCCATTGACAGATACCACTACTCACCCATCAGACCGATAAATAATGAAAAGCCAAACAATATCAAATTTTGGTGAAAATGTGGAGACCTTCCAGATTTGATGCTTTCTTACCTTATAATAGGCCTTTGCATTGTTAAAAAGCAGCTGGAAGTCAGCAGTCAGCAGATTAACATCATCATACTCTTCCATTTTTAGTTTCTGTTGGATTTTCATCAAGTCAATGGGTTGAGAAACCACTTCGTAATAGTCTGGTTGATTTCTGTTATAATTTAAATATATACATTCTTAAATGGCATTTATCTAAAAAGTTATAACGTATTTCAAAACTATCTGGGATAATATCCAATATTCCAAGTTATTCAGCATATTACAATCTGCCACCAGACTTGCTCTTATTATTAGAAATAACAGGGAACAAAAGAAAATCCATCTGTTTCCTTTGCAAAATATGTATTAATGATATAAAAACCTAAATTAATACCTGTGATGGTCTTTTATATATTAAATATTTAAGGTTTAGGGCATTATCTCTAAAACCATGTCACTGATATCATGCAAATGAAGATGGTGTACGATAGTGGCTGAAAACATTCATATTTCAAACTTCTTTATAAACTTACAAAATGGACAGTCTCTTGTTAGTGACCTCAGAACTTTTTTCTGCCAAGTACTATCAAGTACCTATTATATATACAGCTTTAGTATGAATTACTAAAGTTAAAAAGGACAAAAACGAGGTCCCTGGCTTCAAGGAGCTTACCAGAGATGAAACACATACGACACATTTAAATTTGACCAGAATGTTAAACTAACCAAACAACCACAAAAATCAGGATAGTGGTTATTTCTTGGCTTGGAGGGCAATGGGGGTGGGGGGTGGGGGGTAGGGACAGTGAGGGACACACAGGAAAATCCAAAGGTAGTTATACCAGTTTCTTAAGTTAGGTTTTGGGTACATGAATGTTTATTGTTATCATTCTTTATAGTGTTTTCAACTGGGGTTCCATGAGACAAGTAAGCCCTCTGAAAAATTATCTGAGTGACTATTTTCTCAATTCTCTCATGGGGGTTGGTAGTTAGCTCCATTCTAGGTGCACAAGAGACAAGTTATCACGTATAAAGAACGTCTTGGGCATTAAGGCTTTATTCTTTCCTAGAACCTTAGTGGAGAAGAACTACAACATACATGTTATTTCTTTGGGTATGTATGATGTATTTATTTTTACTTTTTATTTTGATACAAAAGTTGTAAGAACAGTCTCTTTATACTATGTAAAAGCCCATTCCTCATCAAACTTTCAACTTATTCAATTTTTAATTTATATCAGCATAGATTTATGGATTCCTATTTGATTCAAAGGGTTAAAAATCATTACTATAATTATTTCGATGCTCAAAATGCCCCAATTTGGCCAGTAGGAGTCCTTTCAAGCTGGCTTCTATGTACTTTAACCATATTCCCATCACACTCTGAGCTCTTATTTCCTGGCACCATTTCGTACTTTGCCTGATATAGCCCTTGTAATCAGCTATTTCCCAAAAATAATATCTGGGTGCTAGATGTGTTCATTTCTATCGCGGTGTTGCTGCTCCCAGTCTGTCTCAGTGGAAAGAGCTAGAAAATATACATATTACATCTAAATTTATTTTCTATCTATCTACATATATTGGAAACTATGAATTCACACTATCTCCAATTTCAATCCAACACCACAGCATTCATTCTAGCTTCCTCCCTCTCGCTGTTTGAACCTCCCTTCTCAGATAGTGACAGTCTCAATGGAGCAAACGGTTAATGCGCTCAGCCGTAACTGAAAACTTGGAGGTTCGAGTCTGCCTAGAGGCACGCTGGAAGGCCTGGCAATCTACTCCCGAAAAATCAGCCACTGAAAACCCTATGGAACAAAGTTCTACCCTGACACAGATGAGGTCACCATGACTTGTAAACAACCTGATGGCAACTGCTTTGGCGCTCCTGGGTGGTACAGATGGTTAATGCATTTGGCTGCTAACCAAAAGGTTGGAGGTTTGAGTCTACCCAGAGGCACCTCAGAAGAAAGGCCCAGTGATCTACCTCCAAAAACCCAGCCACTGAAAACCCTATGGAGGACAGTTCTACTCTGACAGGGGGTTGCATGAGTTGGAATCAAGTTGATGTCAACTGCTTTTTTTTTTTTTCCCTCAGATAGTTAGAAGCCTGGCTCTCATTATCTACAATGCATTTACTTACATGATTCGTCCTCTGCATGTAACCAATCTCCTGATGCTGTCCTACCCTTACCACCTGATACTCTCCTCAGCCCACTGAGCCTCTGCCCCCTGCCTCTGTACCAGGCCACCACCCACCTCCTGTACAGGCACCCTCCTCACCGGGCTCTGTCCTTCTGTGCTAGGCTATCCCCTCTGTGGATGTCCTCCTTATCCCACTCAGGTTCTGACATCACATGACAGGCCACTGCCAGGCCCCCACCCCTTGCCCCACATGGATACCCTCCTTCCTCCATTTAGGCTCCAATCCCCGCTGCCAGGAAGTCCTTCTATATGAACGTCCTCTTTACCCTGCTCAGGCTCTGGCATCCTGTGCCATGACACTGCTATTGTAGCCTGCCCTCCATTCTCTGCAGATGAAAACCTTGCTCAGCCTCGCCTAATGACTTTTAAACTGAATTCAGCAGAAAGGGAAGAGAACGAGTAAATCTAATTTTAAAAAAACCCTATCAACCACTTATGACTTTAGTAACTGTAAAAGTATGAGGAGATAAAAGGAGTACTCCATCTGCTATTCAGATAAAGTGTAAGAACGTAAA